AGCTGTTTGTTTAATTGATGGCATTTTTGTCAGAAGTATTGACTGTACTTTTACAGTTCCTACCTGAAAACACACACGTGCCTGTACTCCGTAGAGCCGCTCTGAAAGAAAACACAGAATTATTCAGGACTATTGAGCAGAGTTTTGGCAGCGTCCGTCTGTGTGTCCCTGTTTCTTGTACTACACACCTACTTTGATGATGCCTTATATCAGACTGAGCCCTACTTTCATGCTCGGCATCCCCTTGATCTCTGAGATAAAAGTCTGTGGTATTTATATGTTGCTCTGGTTGTTTGTTTGGTTGTTTGTTTGGTTGACTGTCTTTTTTGTTTTGTTTTGTTTTGTTTTTTTCTTCCAAGTTTTGCTTGTTGTAGTGAATACTTTAAACACAATGTCTGTCCAAAATCCTTCAGAAAGCTTTACAAATTGTATAATGAATATTAGGGATGTCCGATAATGTCGGCCGACCGATATTATGGTATTATAGTTCAGAGTACTACATGTACACGTACCATCTCTGAAACTTGGAGTAGAGTAGAAAACTCATCTGGTACGAAAGTACTGTAGAGAAAACATGTGAGGCTCCTCAGAAAAACACAGGCAGGAGTCTGGTCATTTATTTGTTAAAGATAAGTCGGTGATTTGAAGTGTTTGAACAACTCACTGTGACCTGAACTCTTATCAAACCACATCGACTGTGTGTATTAGAACTGTTTTTCCGTCTCTTTCTCACTTCAACCTCACCATCGTTCACTACCATCAACACCCTTGTGATACCCTTGTCTTTCAGCCGCCATGTTGTTTCAGGTCTTTTCTCCATCCATTTCTGACAAGAAGGCGTTTGAACCGGAGACTAATTTGTCTGACTCATTCTGTCACTCAGCTTCTAGAAATCCCTGAGGAGACAGAAGTGTGACTCAAAGCAGGTCCTACACACACACATACACACACACACACACAGCCAGGCCCATTTAATAGATTACAGTTGACTGCTGACGTAGCATTATGTTGCAAAGCCTTAGCGTTGGGCTGGAAAAAGCCCCCATTAAGAGATCAGAGCCGGGTGACTGGATCCAGCTGTATCTCTGAACAACCACGTCAAAATCATCAATCGATCCAGACCATCTGCACCGCACCGCACCGCGAGGCAGAGGTGATGAGCACCAGAGAGGAGCAGGTATGTACTATATGCACTAGGAAATACCCCTGTGTCTGCACGCGTGTCTGTGCGTGTGCGGGTTTTTTTTTTTTACGTAAATCAACAAATTGTAACATTTAACCCCTTAATTTTTATGCCCAGATAAAATAAAAATTTAATTTAAGTTTGTGAAGTTTGAGAAATAACTTCATACAATGTCGTAATAAAGTCACAGGAGACTCTTCAATTGGAACGCTTCAATGTATTTTATTGCTTATAATTTTATTCAGACTTCTTTTCTGACTAATCTCAAAGTCTTTAAAGAATCTCGTGCAAAAAAAACCCCAAAACATCCCACCCATGAATCTCTGGGGGAAACATTCAAAAGTTAAAGAGGTGTATTTAATATTATAATACTGGAACTGTGATGTTAAATCACAGTCGATCCCTGTACAAATTATCATTGTATTAAATCTAATAGGGTATATGAATAGAAATGTTTTGTTTGGTCTGTCTGTTTCCTGTTCCTGCCGTCTGCTGTGAGGGGTTAATCATCTCTGATTAGTCTCACTCGTGTCACCTGGTGCCCTGGGTATATATACACCTCTCCCTCACTCTGTGTTCTTGGGATCATTGTTTGTCGGTCACTTGGTGTCAGTCTGTGTATGGAGTTCTTTCTTTTTTGTTGTTGTTCCTGCCTGCTTCCTGCTGTGTCACTGCTCTCTGACGGTGTGTAAACACTATTGTTAGTTTTGTCGAGGGAATTTCTACGTACGTAAGTTTGTGGGCGATGGACTAGAACATATTTCCTATTCGTACTAGAACATATTTTTACTCTCCATTTTCAACAGAAACATCATTCACAACAACTGTGCATAATGAATACTGTGGTACGTTACATAACAGGGAGTAAGGGGAAATTAACATCATCACCGATGTACCTCGTTTCTAGAAGGATGTCTTCAATAACAACAGAGGAAGAATCAGCTTCATGGTCGTCGTACATATAAAGACAAATACACACCAGGGGTTTGCCCTCAAACACACACACCCTAGCAGGGGTTCAAACCTGAAATCAAGCCTGATTATAGTCAAGAAACAAGACCTTTTTTTTAAAAAAATGTCACATTTGGATTGGTTTGTCTGCTGCACCAGTAATTAGAAAACAGATCGGTCATTTTTCTGACAGTCCCTTCTTCCCTTTACTGTTAGAGGAGTTTTTAGATAAACGACTTTCTGATGCAGCAGTTTTGACAGATTAGTAGTGTGTGTTATAGTGAGAGACCCTCTCAGGCAACCAATCAAAAACATTTAAAGTCCCTAAACAAAGTGGTATCTCTCCGGGGCCTCTTCACGGGCTGATACATCAGCTGAAGGATGGCACTCCAGGGTCAGGGGTCACTGGTTTGTTGGAATATCTTCATCTCTCCTCAAACCTCTTTCCATCTGCTTTGGTTCCAGGGAACGGCGCGGCTCAATGGGGTGAAGGAAAGCTGTGAGGCGCTTGGTCACGGGCGGGAGAGTGAGTCTCTTCATCGACTGTGATGTGAGGTAAGATGAAGTAAACACATCAAACGGCTGAGATGATGAGGAAAGGCTGGCTCACCTCACAAAAAAGGACAAAACAAAATACATGTGGATTAATCGAAACGCCGTTCCAGTTGGTCCATTTCCCAAAAATGCAATAACAGCTAAAATATGTGGTTCCGTAATTCAGCTGGACAACTGTTTAAGAGGGAAAAACAAAAATATATATCCAGCGCTCCACATGATCAACTTAATTCTTTATAAATGTGTTAGCACAACAAATTTAGAAAGTGATACCTGCAACCCACACCGACGGTTAAAGCAGAGGCACAAAAAGACTTTTAAGGTCAAACAAGTAACATTGTGGGAAGTTCCTCATTTAGACCCAGTTAAATACGTTGTATGAAAAGAACATCAACCAGTGGGTCCCTCCCAGCAGGCAAGGATGGGTCACGGTTGGATTTCATGTGAGAATTGAGTGAATATGAAAGTTGAAGACGTTTGTCTGCTCAGATATCAATATACTCAAGATGGAGGCAGTGGTGGAATTATACATAATAAATATATATATATAAAGAAGAATAAACAAAAAAGTCATCCCTCACATACCACTATAGGGGTTGCATACCATAGTTTTAGAACCACACATCTGAAGGGACCCAGTGATAAACAAATGTTTCTAGTGACAAAGTTTTAAAAAAATGTCTCTTTGTCTGATTAAAATGCTTTTGCTAAATATATTAGCAAACGTGGTTCCATCAATCAACACTTGAATGGATTTTTCTTTGTTACTGTTTACTGTGATTCGTGTTGAATGGGTTTTTGTCATTGACGAGAGGGAAGATTAATGAGCCTGCGTCAAGTTCCAGGAGTGAAAAACTGACATGAATGGAAGGAGAGAGTGAATGGTTACAGAAAGACAGTTGACAGAGACACAGCACACTGTAGTCCACACAGAACAACCGCCGCACACTTCACCCAGGGCTCGTTATATGACTGTGTGATCGTGGGCTCCCTGGGACGAGGCAATCTAAAAAAAGAAAGTGGGAATGGGTTTTGTTCACAAACGATTTCTCTAGGAGCGATCAAACAAAAAACAGTCACAAACATTCCCACAGAACTGGACACACATGATAGATTGAC